ATATATGTACACACACATATAATATATAGCGGTCATGGTAGCAGTGGTGGTAGTGTTAGTGGTGGTAGTGGTAATAGTGGTATTAGTGGTAGTGTTGATTGTGGTGGTAGTGGTAATAGTGGGGGTGGTGGAAATAGTGTGGTAGTGGTGGAGGTGATGGTGGTGGTAATGGTGGTGCTGGTGGTAGTGATGGTGCTGATAGTGGTGGGGGTAATAGTGGTGGTTGTGGTGGCAATAGTGATAGTAGTGGTAATATTGGTGTAGTGGTGGTAATATTGGTGGTAGTGGTGGTGAAGGTGATGGTAGTGGTGGTGGTGGTAGTAGTGGTGGTGGTATAGTGGTAGTTGTGGTAGTGGTAGTGGTAATAGTGGTGGTTTGTGGTAGTGGGTGGTGGTAGTGGTGATAGTTGTGGTGATGGTAGTAGTGATGGTGGTGGTGGTAATAGGGTGGTGGTGGTAATTGTGTAGTAGTGGTGGTGGTGATGTGTAATAGTGGTGTGGTGAAGGTAATAAGTGGTGGTGGTAACAGTGGGGTGGAGGTGGTAGTGGGTGGTGGTAATAGTGGTAGTTGGGAGTAGTGTGTTGGTGTAATAGTGGTGGTGTAATAGTGGTGGTGGTTGGTGGTAGTAGTGGTGTTTGGTGGTAATAGTGTGGTGGTGGTGGTAGTGGTGGTGTGGTGGTAATAGTGGTAAGTGGTGGTGGTGTGGTAATAGTGGTAGTGGTGGTGGTGGTGTAGTTGTGATGGTGTGGTAATTGGTGGTGGTGGTGGAAAGTTGTGATGGTGGTGGTATTAGTGGTGGTGGTGTAGTTGGATGTTGGGGTATTAGTGGTGTTGGTGGTGGAATAGTGGTGGTGGTGGTGTAGTCGTGAGGTGTGGTGTGGTAAATAGTGGGGTGGTGGTAAAAGTGGTGGTAATGTGGATTTAATAGGTGGTTGTGAGGTGTAAAAGTGGTGGTGTGGTGGTAATAGTGGTGTTGTGGTGGTAAATAGTGGGGTTGGTGGTGTAATAATGGTGGTTGTGGTGGTAATAGTGGTGTTGTTGGTGTAACATGTGGTTGTGGTGGTAATAGTGAGTGGTTGTGGTGGTATATGGTGGTTGTGGAGTAAATAGTGGTGGTTGTGGTGGTAATAGTGGTGTAAAAATGGTGGTTGTGTGGTAATATGGTTGGTAAAAATGGTGGTTTTGTGGTGGTAATAGTGGTGGTTGTGGGTGGTAATAGTGGTGTTGAGGTGTAATAGTGGTGGTTGGTTGGGGTAATAGTGGTGGTTTGTGGTGGTAGTAGTGGTGGTTGTGGTGGTAAAGAGTGGTGGATAGAGGAGGTAATATGGTGGTTGTGGTGCTAATAGTGGTGGTGTGGTGGTATTAGTGGTGGTTGTGGTGGTAATAGTGGTGGTTGTGGCTAATAGTGGTGGTTGTTTTTTGGTCCTAATATGTGGGGGTTGTGGTGGCAATAGTGGTGGTTTTGGTGCCTAATCGTGGTGGTTGTGGTGCAATAGAGTGGTTGTGGAGCTAATAGTGGTGGTGTGGTGTAATAGAGGTTGGTTTGTGGTGGTAATAGTGTGGTTGTGGTGGTAATATGGGTTGTTGTGGAGTAATAGTGGTGTTCTAGTGGTGGTAATAGTGGTGGTAAATAGTGGTGGTGTGGTGTAATAGTGTGATTTGTGGTGGTAAGTGGTGGTTGTGGTGTAATAGTGGGGGTTTGTGGTGGTAAAAGTGGTGGTTGTGGGTGGTAATAGTGGTGGTAGTGGGTGCTAATAGTGGTGGATGTGGTGCTAATAGTGTCGTTTGTGTTGGAAATAGTGTAGTTGGGGTGGTAATAGTGGTGGTTGTGGTGTAATAGTGGTGGTAATAATGGTGGTAATAATGGTGGGTTGTGGTGTAATAGTGGTGTAAAAATGGTGGTGTGGTGGTATTTAGTGGTGATGTGTGGTAATAGTGGTGGTTGTGGTGGTAATAGTGGTGGTTGTGGTGGTAATAGTGGTGGTTGTGGTGGTAATAGTGGTGGTTGTGGTGGAATAGTGGAGTTGTGGGTGGTAATAGTGGTGGTTTGGGTGGTAATAGTGGTGGTTGTGGTGTAATATGTGTTGTGGTGGGTAAAAATAGTGGTGGTTGTGGTGGCTAATAGTGGTGGTTGTGGTGTAATAGTGGGGGTTGTGGTGGTAATAGTGGTGTTGTGGTGCTAATAGTGTGGTTTGGGGGTAATAGTGGTGGTTGTGGTGGTAATAGTGGTGGTTGTGGAGGTAATAGTGGTTGTTTGTGGTGGTAATAGTGTGGTTGTGGGTCTATTAGTGGTGGTTGTGGTGGTAAGTGGGTGGTTGTGGTGTAATAGTGGGTGGTTGTGGTGAAATAGTGGTGGTTGTGGTGGTATAGGGTGGTTGTGGGTGGTAATATGTGTGGTTGTGGTTGTAATAGTGGTGGTTGTGGTGGCAATAGTGGTGTTGTGGTGGTAATAGTGGTAGTGGTGGTGGTAATAGTGGTGGTTTGTGGTTTAATTTAAAAGTTTAGGGATTTTTTGGGGTATTTGGTGGTTGTGGTGGTATAAGGGGGGGTAGTGGGTTTAGGGTGTTGTGGTGATTATAGTGGGGGTTGTGGTGGTAATAGTGGTTGTGGCTGGTGGTAATAGTGTGGTTGTGGGGGAATAGTGGGTGTTGTGGGTAATAGTGGTGGTTTGTGTGGTAATAGTGTGTTGTGGTGGTAATAGTGGTGGTTTGTTGTGGTAATAGTGGTGTTGTGGTGGTAATAGAAGGTGGTTGTGGTTGTAATAGTGGGGGTGGTGGTGGTTGGGTGTAATAGTGGTGGTTGTGGAGATAATAGTGGGTTGTGGTGGTAATAGTGTGGTTTTGGTGGTAATAGGGTGGGATGTGGTGTAATAAGTGGTGGCAATAGTGGTGATGTGGTGGTAATAAGGTGGTTGAGTGGTAATAGTGGTGGTTGTGGTGGTATAGTGGTGGTTGAGGTGCTAATAGTGGTGTTGTTGGTGGTAATAGAGTGTTTGAGTGGTAATATGGTGGTTAGTGGTAATAGTGGTGGTTGTGTGCTAATAGTGGTGGTTGTGTGGTAATACTGGTAGTGGTGGTGTAATAGTGGTTCTTGGTGGGTAATATGGTGGTTGTGGTGGTAATGGGGTGTTTGTGGTGGTAATAATGGTGGTTGTTGTGGAATAGTGGTGGTTGTGGTGCTAATAGTGGTTGTGGTGGTAATAGTGGTTGTGGTGGTAATAGTGGTGGTTGTGGTGGTAATAGTGTGTAGTGGTGGTAATAGTGGTGGTTGTGGTGGTAAAGTGGTGTTGTTGGTGGTACTAGATGTGTAAGAGGAGGTTCTCGTGGTGGTCAAAGTAGTGGTAGTGGTAGTACTAGAGGGATAGAGTTGTAAACTGGTGGTAGTGTATGAACCTAGTGGTGGTTTTGTGGTGGTAATCGAGGTGGTTGTGGTGGAACACGTGGTTTAAGTGTGGTCAAAGTGGTGGTTTTGGTTGTAATAGAGTAGGTAGAGTTAGGAAAATCGAGGGTAGATGATGAAATATGTGGAGTGATATGAGGAAATCGTGGTGTTGTTGAGGTACTGTGTGGTGGTTGTGGTAGTTAAAAATGGGGTTGAAGTGGTAAAGTGGTGGTTGTGGTGGTAAATCGAGGGTAGATGTGCACTCTTGTGTAGTATGAGAAGAAGTGTTTGTGGTGGTAAAAAGTGTTGGTTGAGTTTGAAATAGTGGTGTTAGTGAGTAAAAGTTGGATGGTTGTGGTGGTAATAGTGGTGCATGTGGTGGTAATAGT